AGACTCTGCCTTGGGAGACATCACTATTAACTGGTGCTGGATTTGATTTTGGTTTGTAACTGCTGTAGAGAAGATTGGAAATTGCTTCTTAATCTCCCTACCCCCTTTATTTTGTTTCTCACAATTTTAAAAAATCCATGAACTGGGAAGTTGATTATTAGGTTTAGACTGGTTTGAAAATCAATATCCCAGACCTGGTGCTTAAGATGGCACCTGCTTGAACAGTGGTTGGCATAAAAGACTTCCAAAGTTCCTTCCAGCCTGATTATTCTATTATTATATTCAAATCCTAATTGGTGGAGGCTTTCCAAAGAGAGACCTGAAAATTGGGAGTTTGCTAGAAGCTCTTGTTAGCCAGCTTAATTTAAAACAGTATCTAAGAACCAGGGAAAAGAAACGATTTTAACCAAAAGGCATTTTTGATGTCTTTTGAAACTGAAAATATAGTCTTATAAATTTGAACTGGACAGTTTGCAGGGTATTAAACTTTGTAAAAATGCTTATCTGAACACCATAAAGCTGCAAAATAAATTTAGCAAGAAAAACCTTGCAACTTCTCTGAATAAAAGATGTCCCTTTGAATGGAAGATTTTTAAGACAACTCCAATAAAAGAAATGTGTGCTTCATGTTTCGGAAGCCTGAAACTTCACTCCAAGGTATTTATAAGTATGCACCTGCTCTACTGGAATTCCAGCAATTTGTTATTCATGCACCCTACTAATGTGTCATGCAAAGACTTAACACTAGTTTTTTTGATACTGCAAGTTATTCTTTTGAGCAAAAGAAAGCCTTTACCACCAATACCCTTCTCCTTCCCACTTGGAAGACTGAGAAACTTAACAAATCAGCTGCATATAGCAAAGCTGGCATTGCACAATCAAATCCAGAACATTTTCCCTAATGCATCCCTGTAGAAGAGGCGGAAAGACAATGGAAAGACCCAGATTCTAGTTCATATTTAGCCACAGCACTGGGCCAGTCATGTCTTTTTAGCTCAAACTAACTCATAGGTTGCTGGGGTAAAAGCAGCAAGAGGGTACCAAATACATTATTTTCAGCTACTGGACAGAAAGAAGGGATATAAATCTTATAAATAAATAGACAGAAAGGTTCTATTCTAAGAACTCAATATAAATGAAAACAAGCAACACCATGACTTCAAATAGCAGCCAAATTCAAATTGTACAATATCTCTGAGGGAGTAGTAAAAAATCAGATTTCACTGAACTAATCTTAACTCCTGATTACTACATCACAGCAGTTTTCTTTGTTCTCGGATATGTCCAATATGTAAAAAGAACAGAACTGCAACCACTCACCATCCTTATTTGTTATTATTTTCATTTTAAAAATAAAAAAAGTCAACAAGGAGCTTGCATATGAAAAAGATCCCAGGGTTGTTCTAATTGTGGGTAAAAGTAGGTGCTGGCTTTTGAGTTCCTTAAAGAAAGTTAGAAGCAAAGTCAAAGTATGCTTGCCAATTGCTTCCCAATACCATACCATTTATTATTATTTCAAAAATGAGATAAAAGAAATCAATCAAATGAAAGCCAGTTTGGTGTAGTGGTTAGCGTTGATCTAGAAAGCAGGATAACTGAGTTCTAAACTTCCCTTTGGCACACAAAACCGGCTGAGTGATTTTGGGCCAGTCACTCTGTCTCAGCCCAACTCACCTCATGAGATAGTTGCTTTGGGAAAAATAGAAGGAGGAAGGAATATTGGTATGTTCACTTCCTTGAGTAAAAGGTGGAATTTAAAAAAAATTAAAAAAATGATACATAATAAATATGGTAACCCAGGAGCAGAGATCTCAGAAGAGACATTTGTGGGTAAATGTAGGTTTTCAGACACTATTTTTTTCCAATACCATCATAATTTATTCATTGATGTAATCTATAGCTTATCCCAGACTTGTTAAGAGTCCAATAACAATTCCAGGCTTATCATGTAAACTTTCACATAATGTCCACAAAAAACATATACAAATATCTTTTTTAAAAAATACTACTTTCAAGTACATTTATAAAAAGAAAAATCTTGTACCAAATTATCCAGGTAAACTGTTAGATCCTGGAGTATTATCTGAAATAAACAGAATCTTGAACTCAATGTTTTTGTCATGGCAACAGTTCTCCAATTCTGGGATGAAATAGTGGAAGAACCAGTCTTCAAAGCTGAGAAGGGTGAACCAAAGTTTCTTCTTAGCTTTCCTCAGAACAGGAAGTAAACTCTTTGACATGTTCTTAAAGAGACTGCACATTCATGGAATGGTAGACTAGTAGTGACTTTAGGCTCACATCACCAGAAGTACTGTCAACTAGCACCATAGTTAAGTCTTCAGAGCTTTGTAAGTTGTCTGTTATTTTCTTACAATAAAGTTCCATTTCATCTAAACTGAATATCTGCCAAGGCAAATAACCACCTTTCTAGGAGAAAGTGGGAAAAGATGTCTCAAGAATATATGACGCACATCAGAAACTTTCCCGCCTTCCCTCAGATGCAAGGATCTTCCAGGACAGACTCATGGATAGGTTTCTTCATATAGGCAAAAGTTTGCAATTTGAAAATTCTTAAATAGACTAATATTTGTATAGTCTCATCTGTAATTTGTCTAACTCGATATTATCTATACCAGTGGGTGGGCCGTGAGAAAATTTTGGTGGACCGCAGAGAAATCTCACTCCCAGAGCACCCCTCCAAAGCAATTAATCCAGGCTGTGCAGAAACACAAGGCTGTGCCATCCACATGGCCTGCAGGAATGCTCCCCGCCCACTCACTCCTTACCTGGCAAACTTGCCTACTAAAATTGGTATTTTCCTTTTTCCGACCATCATCTGTTCTGCTTGGGAGATTAGCTAGTAAGCAGGAAATGGTTGGATTTCTTGCTTTCTAGCTAGTCTTTAGATCTTCAGCTCTGCTTTAAGTACAGCTGAACCTTCCTTAGGACTGAAGGTTTGCTTGCAAGCAAATTCAGTGCAGACTCACGACAAGCAAATTTGAGAGACTGAGCTAGCCGATGGCAGATAGATAGATCACAGAATGATTCTGTGAGCAACTCAATCTGCCTGCTTTGCAGTAAAAAATGTTATTTTTTATATAAAAGATTCAATATTTACATACATTGTTTGTTGTGAGTTAATTTTGTGAGTTTGTTTGCAAGCAAATTTTATGTGACAGACTGAGCTAGCCGATGGCAGATAGATAGATCTCATAAATGTATCTATGATTCTATGAGCAACTCAATCTGCCTGCCTGCTTTACCTGGTTTTGGGTAAAAGTTACTCTTTTTCTATAAAAAATTCAATATTTATGTAAATATTTATAATATTTACATACAAGCCATGCCCAGCCAGTCACATGACCACCAAGCCACACCCACAAATTAGGCCACGCCCGCAGAACCAGTTAGTGGTCCCTGGAATCTAAAATTATGAGTTTGGTGGCCCCTGAAGTCCAAAAGGTTGGCGACCCCTGATCTATACTGTCATTTGTTTATCAGGCTCAGTAACAAATCCTTCATAGCTTGTAAGAATGCTGCTGCTGAGGAACAAGGTTTTTGGAATTAGAAGAACATGACTTAAGATTTGGGTGGTATGGATATCTATGGCATGATAAAACTAGTGTAGATTTTAAAAATCATCTTGTTAGACATGTTATATTGATAAAATGGAACAGATATACACCTATGTGGTGCTTGCACAGAAACATTTTACAGAAAAGAAATGATGCCTAAACATGAATGGTTAACTTACTCTGATATATTAGCATTTGGTCAAGGAGAATGTAAAATAAAATGAAGACAAGAGCTGATAGTAGAAAGATATTCAGGTTTATGTAGAACTATCAGAAATATTTAAACTAGATAAACTAATTTGGAGTTAAACATTTTAAGACTGAATTTGAAATGGAATTGTGCAAAAATATGAGTATGTCACTGCTATAATGCATAAGCTTTTATTGAAATAAAGTATGATAAAATGGGCTAAAACCTTTGGTTACAATATATAAATGGATCATGGGAAAGTATGTTGTTCAAATGATTGAAATTTACATTGTTACAGTCTTAAAGATTATTTTAATAAAATGTTACACTGATGCATAACACCAGAAAAATTGCTTAGAATGTATATATAAAGGTTCTTCAAATTTATGCTAGAAATTTAATAAAAAAGAGAGGTTGGTGGACAGTATAAAAAGGTGGAAAATTCTGGACTGAATTACATATAATAGTTAAAGATTAATATACAATTAAAACTAGAAGCTTTTCTTTTGGAACCGATGGATAACCAATTGGAAAAAAATCATTGGAACTTTCTTTTTGTAACTGCAGTGAGACTATTATTACGTAGAAAGATTTGGTTTTACCTACAAGAAAGCAATGAATGGGGAACTTGATTAAACTTGCTGAGAGTGCCGGCTTTAACTAGAGAAAGAATACTGTCTTAAGTTGATTAGAATCTCTTTACTGACTTTTTGCAGGAAACAAAAAAAATTAAATGATGGTATATGGTCCTAATGATTTTTTTAAAAAAAATGATAATAGAAAATATGTAAATAATGATGTAACCATAGCTCAAGAGGTCAATTTATATCTAGTTATAACTATAAGATAATGGAAGTAACTTCTTTATAATCTTTTTTCCTTGTCTTTGAGTTCTGAATTTTTGTCTTTGTTCTTTTCTTATTTTTATCCTTCTTTTTTTTCTTTCTAAATATTAGTTCTTGTTAGTTTTCAATGTTTTGTTTTAAAATTTTAATAAAGTTACATAAAAGGAAATGTTACTTTTTAATTCTGCCATTAGAATTTGGATGGATAACTGGTGATCCCAGGACAGATTTCAAAATCTCTTTAGTCCAGGAAGAATAATCTGATAATTTATTGGCAATTGTCCAAAAAAATATTGGGGAATAATGGTTGAAGGAAGAAAATATGTCAAAAAGAGAAGGAAGACTCTTGTTTCACCATTTCAGAGTCAAAACACCTTTTTCCTATCAGGAACACAGCTTCTGACAAAGTGACATTGACAAAAGTACAGTAATCTAAGGGGAAGAAAATTCCACGTTTGTTACCTAGACTATTCTGAGAATGCATCAAAATGCTGTTTGTAAAATGTAAACATTACACTAACATCATCAAACATTTTAAAGTATGTGATACACATACATTGTGGACAGAAATCTGAACCTAAAGTTAGTTTATTTACAGAATATTATGTTCTGAAACTTTCCCAATAATTTCTGAAAAAGCAAACCAGGCATTAAGTAGTGAGAGTTATTAATTTATTGCAGATAATAATAAGAGATATTATGCAAAGGAATCTGCTTCAACAGGAATCTCTTTAGCCTTCTGCTGGACAGCCTGCCAAACTCTGTTCTGCCAGGGACAGAAAGAGATGTTTCATTGTTTTGGTTGTCTATGGCTCTCAAACTTAACAAAACTTATTCAAGATGAAAATAATCATATCAGACAAATACTTATTCTCAACAAATCAAATGGTATCCTGAGTGTTTAGGGCTTACCATAAGAATCTAGATGCACTGCTGGATCAGACTAAAATGGATTTATCATATGGAATGATATGTAATACATAAGTAATTCATTAATATCAATTATTTTCAAAATAAAATATATACTCCCACCAATGTCCTAAGATAGCCATTCAAGGCTCTGCTCTGGATGCACTCTGATACGATGAAGGAAGCATCTATCCATGAGTGACTCTTCTCACTGACAGCCACCACACATTATACTTCCAAACATATCAGTCTTTTAGAACTATGTTTGGCAACAGATTTTAGTATCTTTTCTTGTAGGCCATTAAAACAGTTATATGATGTTGCTGTTCAATCCATGTTTTGAACTTCTTTCAGAATGATATTTATATATTTAATGATCAGTGCTGCATATTGTTTTAGTGTTTTTCAATCTAAATGGCTTTTTTCTGCTTTTAAAGTTTACACATATTTGAAGTTCACTGAATTTTATTCTTGTTTTATGTGGGTTATATACAATAAATCACTTGAGATCATTCTGTTACATAATGGCTAACACACTAAATGAATAAAGAACTACATTAAGATGATATTCACCTTTGCACTTTCCCTATCATAACCAAATATCCTGTCAAGGCCATATGAATGAAAAATTAAGCTGTTATCATCCTATATGATTAAAAAATAAATTTATGCTATATGCAACCTTTCAATCTGTTTCTTGCCTTTACAATCCTAAAACAATATTAAGTTCTTTAAAAGAACACAGTACAAAAATTGAGTATCTATTTCTTCACATAATGGAGATTGTACCCAAGACATCAGAGTAAATACTGCTTTTCTAAATGTCTACAAAGATTCTCAGTCATCCAGGTTATGGTTATCCCAAAGGTGCCTTTTCAAGAGGCAACTGAACTTTCAAGGTTGTCTTTGAGGACGTTTTGCTCCTCATCCAAGAAGCTTCTTCTGAAGAGTTGAAGTAGCTTCTTGGATGAGAAGCAAAACATCTCCAAAGAAAACAAGTCAGATTTCCTTTTGAAAAAGCACCTTTGGGACTACTTCTTTTCTACTTTCTGAAAAATCAAAATATTGGCCTTACAGCACTTTAGACCTTTCTGGCATATCTGTCATTGTATATGCCAATACAATTAAAATATATCACAGTATTATGAATATATATTATTTCCTGAATAATCATACCCTCAGGACAATAATTTGCTGTCCATAAATTCACTTGTGCAAGACAGTACTAATTCTTTGACATTTGAGAAGAAAAACGCCTCATTTGAAAAAATAAGGGCTTATTACAATCCTGCATCCATTGATATTGGCACTTCCCCAAATAATACAAATATATGAAAACTGTACAGAGACTGGCATATTTTTCTTAGTAAAAAAAAAAGAGGAAGAGAACATTCTTTTGAAAATAACACTCTCTTAATCGCAAGTCACATACAGGTAGCCCTTGACTTATGACTGTAATAGTGTCTACCCATTACAGTCACAAGTTGTGATGGCTATAAATCAGATCACTAATGTGACTGACCCAATTTTCTGATATTTTTTGTAATGGTTGTTAAGCAAAGCAATGATTTGCTATGGGCTGATTTTGCCAAAAATTGGAAGTAAAAGCTGTTATAAAACATGGTCATGGGAACATGGGATGCTGCAAATGCCTGCAAGTGCAGGCCAACTACTGAGCACCCGAAATGTGGTCACATAATGGAAGGGCCCTGGAACTTCAAAACTGGGTTATAAGCATCCACAGTGTGATCTGTCATAACTTCAGGTGTTTGGTGAGAGACCAATAGTAAGTCGAGGACTACCTGTTGTAGAAAGCCATTGGAGTCCCTGACTCCTATTAGAAGAGAATACGTTCAGGTGCAGGTTCTTCTCTTGGCACTTTCAAGTATGAGAATGCAGACCACAGTAATACAAAAAAATGGAACTCTAGATTGTGATAGTCATTTCTGTAAAAGAATTAATCAAAAAAGATTAATAAGAAACGTGTTAGAAGAATTAGTATTCTTAGAGAAGCAGAAAAAACGTATAATAAATAGCTTAGTAGAAATATAAAATACAACCCTAAAGATAGATTTAGCATGCACTAAAACTTTGATAGTGATTACAGATAATAGGAGAAGAAAGCAGAAAAGGATGCAGGTATAACTGAATGCATTATATTACAGAATATCCTTGAAGTAAACAAGCTGGGTTGGAAAAAAAATCTTTAAAAAGGAACAAGATTTTGTTTTCTGTTTTTTCAACTTTACAAACTAAAATGTTTCATTCCTTCAAAATCTTCTACTAGTATAGAATGGTGTTTTCTTAACTCATACACTATTTACCTCAACAATTCCATCATATTTCCATCATAGTTCCTCTTTTAAACTTTTCCTTTACCATTTCATTTTCCTTGTTAGAACAGTTATCCTGACTATTTTCCTGTTTTATTGTCCAAAAGACAGAAAAACAACCAAATCAATTGTATTCCATGGAAGCATGAACAGCAAATAGCATTGCATTGTTCTTCTATCCCTCCTATGTGGTATATATCTATTCATTGTAGTTAAGGCCAATCAGAAATTCAATGTTTTGTTTTGCAGTAAAGCTCAGGAGAACTTTTGAAGCAGCTATAGATGATATCCAGAACTGTATTTACTTCAAACAAAAAGTATTTCTGGCAATTAATTATTAACTACAAAGTTAATAATTTCTCTTTGATATACTCACCATGAAGAACTGTTTCTCTATGATGCTTCCCTGGAAAGTTAGGTATGATTAGCATAACATACAAATATTCTTAAGAGCCTTTTGTGGGTCTTCCAAAAGCTTTTGCAATAGATGATTCAATGAGCCTGAATGTGCATAGCAAAAAAGATATATGAGCTAGGCAATAATCTATGTATCAATGGTTTTATTTAAACAAAATGCTAAATTAGGATATAATGGCACCAGAGTTCTGTGGGCAGCAGAAATATCTGTGCTCAGAAGCTCTGAACGATTTTCCATCCATCCGTCCGTCCATCTCTAATTGGTCGCCCCACCACAGGATAACTCTGGGAAGCTTAGTACTGGGATAGGAGTAATAATTAGTAAATTGGTTAGTATTGGGATGGGAGACATCTGGGAATACAAAGACTGTAAGCTAACCTGGGAATTTGAAACACAAATCAAAGGAAGATATTTGTAGCTCAGGGTTGAAATGAGAGGTTCTTGGTACTTTCTGAGCTTGCTTGTTTTCTTCCACATGTTTCATTCAAACTAGATAACAACATCAGTGCTAGTAAGGAGTGTGGTTTGCTGTCAGTTTATATTTTAATGGCTTGCACTGTCAGTGTTGGTGGGGGTGGTCTTAGAGATTCTTTGATTGGGCTGTTTACTGTTGGCTTCTCTGGCAATTTCTTGATTGGGGTATTGCTTACTTGATTGTTGTACTGATGATGTTACCTAATTTGGTAAGTTAGGTAACAACTACAAGAAAACAAGCAATCTCAGAAAGCACCAAGGATCACTCAAACCAAGTCACAAGACTAGCACAGACCAGCATAATTTGAAACATATCCCAGAAGACAATGGCAAACACTACCTTGACTTATATATAGCATTACAAAAACAAATATTAAGGTGCACCGGCACAAATAAAATAAAATAAAAATTCAGGAGTAATCTCATGTAACAGATATTCCTACTGAAATGTAGCTATGCACACCTGATCTTTGAACTGAGTCCTCAGTAGAGAGGAAGGAAAGAGAGGCTGTTGAATCAATCAGTTCCTTTTTGCCAGAAAAATTGAGGCACATTGGTGTTAAAGATTGGAGACAGAGAACATAGCAAGAATATCAAAATTCAAGCAGAAGTTTCTTGGAAATTACAACTGCTTTGAGAATTTCTCTTGAAGACTTAAACTCCATTAGCAGTTAATAAATTAGTGACTTTAGATTATCCTCTTCCTACATAAAAGCCTCTGTTCAAGAACAAAGATGTTATAGAAACAAAATCTGTACATTTTGTACTTTATGATCAAGCATCTTGCATCCTGTGCCATGACTCACTAAGTCCTTGGGCGTTCAACTTGACCTTGTTTCTCTTTGCATCCTTCAGAATTTAATCTGGATTATTTCTTGTCTTAGATTACTCAATTGCCTTTTGACTACCTCTTGGTTTGATCCTCAGATTGCGAATAAACATAGTATTAGGCAAGATTTTTCAAGAGAGATAATTCTGATAGGATAAACACCTGGAGAAATTAGCTTTCCCATCTCTAATAAATCAAAACAATATTAGATAGCAATTTTTAACTCTATCATCACAAATAATTACATCAATCTTCAGAAGCTGAGAAAGACAGGTATTTAATAGCCATAGCAGACCCAACCTTCTCAATTGCAACTACAGCAGGGACCTTGCCTGAACTCAACCTAGATATTAACCTATTAGTTTACTTATATTGACAAAAAATTCTGTTAATCCAGTATTAATAATTTACATCTATTAGAACTTCTTCATGACTATCAGACCTATCTCCCCATTTGATGTTTTGAAATCTGATAGTCATCCATTTTATCAAATGGAACATACTTAATCTGTAGTAAACATATGGTCTGTTTATCTGTGATCAAGTTCTGAATGGTTATTTACCTATTATTAACCAATAGCACTTACAAGCTCAAAGGGAAGCAATCTACTGTTACAACAGATCATGTGGAAAAAGATGTGAAAATAAAACAATAGTGAAATGAATAACTTCTTCCCATATGATACATAGAATGGAAAAACACACATCAACCAGGCCACACAAGCGGCAGGCCGGCATCAAGCTGCATGCATATGCATCAGCTCACCACTCGTGGCCCAGTTCTAAATAGGCCATGGCCCAGTACTGGGCCGCAGCCTGGTGGTTGTGGGGACCCCTACTCTAGACCATCTCTAATAAAAAGCTAGTCAAAGCATACAAGAAGTTACAAAACAAAACCCAACTCTCCCACTCATTGATTGGATCCATGCCTTACCTAGCTCCTTTAGGGAGTGTGGGTGATCTTTGGCATGTGTCTAGATAGACTTGATTCATAGATTCATACTTTTGGGGGATGGTAGCAGCTGCCTTGAAGATGTGCTTACTCCTGAAGAGGCCATTTCTAAATCCAACCTTATCAGGCAATTTCTGCCCAGACTCTAATCTCCCCTTTCTGGGGATATTTCAGGGAAACTGGAAGAATGTCAACTGCATACAACCCTAGATTTTTTAAAATCTAGGATTCAGTCACGGCATTGGCTGGAAACCTAGAGGAGAAACCCGGAAGGGAGATATAAGGAGGAACTGGATGGAGGGAGTTCACCCTTCCTGATCTTATTAGAAAACTCAGTGGCATTCACACATCTACAATGGACTACTGTAAGGATTGGGGGTGGCAAACATGATGGTCCTTTCATTTCCGAATGAGTAGTTTAGGATGGAAGTTATGAACAGGTGAACCCATGACTGCTGCAATTTGGGAGGCCACAGGACTCAGCAATCTCTTTTTACTTAAACTGAAAGGAGAGGTTATCCATTAATTTAAGGTATTGTATCAATATGCTGATAATAACCCAGTACATTTCCTTGCAAGCCTTATGGAGATGCAGAGTAGCCTTTCGTGTTTTTGAGGAGTTGGATGGATCAAACAATCTAAAACTGAATCCCAAAACATTGCAGGTACTGTTCACGTATGAACTATTTGACTATGTCTGACTCTGTTTCAGTTTCTATATTGGTTCTGCACTTCCCCGAAGCAGCCAACCTGAGATTCAGGAGAAGTAATTCTATACTAGCTTCACCAAGAGTATAAGCTCTTGAGTATGTGAATATGTATCAATTAATTCATATAATGGGCAGAAAAGGCAATTCCAAATATGTATCTTACTATGGTCCCAGAAAACAAGTAAGTGTCCACCAAAGACCATCTATGAAGAATCAAGAATGTAGCAGACCCAAACAACGTTACATTATTGAATGTAATCTTTCACTCAATAATTCTTCACAGTAAAGAATTATTTGCAATTATTTGCAAAATAAGAACAGACACCAGATTATAATTACTAATAAAATAATATTACTAGCTGTCCCCAAATTGCTTTGGATAGCATATAAATTATTGCATAAATAACTTAGACCCAAGCACTTTCTATTAAACTTCTAATTACATTTGCCTGAAATTATTGTTCTTTCTGCCAGATCAGAAGAAGAAGCTGCCAAATTTGTTTCAAATTAAGATTGGCATAAGAAATTTTAAGATTTATTTTAAGTATACATATCTGCCAAACCATTGTTGACTGTACTAGGTGTTTTCTAGTTTATCAGAGAAACAATATGTAATTTGCTTTGAAATTAATATAGAATATTAACTAAAAGGTGATCTGTATCTCGCTTGAGATGAAAATTAATTTTATGCTTCTAATATGTATGTTAGAATGGAAGCTATATCGAACTAAGTATCTGATGCATTCATGTGAACCTCTATGAAATTAAGCCACATTACACATTGTAGCTCACTAAACAAAGAAAATGAATGACACAATGAAGAGAACAGAAGAAATTGCCTTGAAGGCCAGGAAGACAGCTGTCAAGTAAAAGAGGCCTGAGTCTAGAGCAGGAGATGTTCTTAGTAAACATCTCAAATGCCCCTCACACTAGTTTTCACCAAAATGAAGGGAGGATGGGGAGAAGTGCATTCATACTTTCAAGATTCTTTTACTATTGTTTTACAATCAAGTAGTATTGAACCTGACACACAGCAAGGAATTTAACAAAGAACCTAACTTTATTTTACAGGTGGTTCTTTGATAAAGACCACATTTTCAGCAACTGATCAAATTTGTGAGGCACTGAATGAGTGGCACAATGATAGAAACCTAAAAGAGTTCTATCTATTGCAAAGTCCCTGTAGGTATGTGATAACTATCTCTGTGCTCTACACCTGGCTTGTGATTTTGATGGTGCAGAAACCTGCCATCACATGGTCACTATTTGTGATTTTGTTTGCTGGCTCTCGACAAATAAAGTCAATGGGAAAGCCAGCAGGAAGTGGTCTGGCAACCATGCGATACTCTTGCTTAATAATCTGTGATGATTTGCTTAATGAAGGCAACCATGCTTGCTGAAATTGCCATTTCTAGGCGGTGCAGTCAAATGACATCAAACTTTACAATGTTGTTAGTGATGGGAATTCTAGTCCCAATTGCTGTTGTTAATCAAGGACTACTTGTATATTTGATTACTTCTTGAAGAGAGAAATCTAATTTATATCCTGCTGGATCTATCACTGATGACTTCTGCAAAGTGAATTTAAAATATATAAAAGTATTTATATAAGGATCTAATTTTCTAATCTCTGGTCTACTTTCAGTAAATTGATTCACAAACACTGAAGTAATACAAGGAAGAAAATTTAGTTTTTGACTATTGCAACACTATGAAATACGGTAAAATAAATTGATTAAATAAAAACAAGCACCAAATCTGGTATTTAAACAATATGCAGCTAGAAAAGATTTTTGAAATTTTGGTACCCTAGGATCTGCAATGAAAGAGGTCTACTGTATCCCTGATGTGTGTGTGTGTGTATGTGTATATGTGTTTGGGGGGGGGGGGGAACAGCTAGACAATAGAAAAAAATCAGCAAACAAAATTATGTAGAGTATATTTCTCCTTTACTGATACAAGAGCCTTCTACCAATAATCAATAAACAATAATATTTCATGAAATAAGTCTGTCTAAATTCAGATTAATAAGATTCATTAAGCCATATTTTAGTATGATCACACAAGAATCCCAACAAGCATTTCTGGTTTCATATCTGAACTTTACATTTAGATCATTCAAAATAATTGGCTCCTTTCATTGTCCTGTCCTTTCAAAGATGGGAGGAGTTTATCTCTTCTGAGACAACTATTATTGCTCATGTAAGGGCTGCTTGCACCATCTGTGTGAGACTCCATAATGAAATCAAAGTCTTAAATTCAAGAAGTACTTCATCTAGATTATAGCAGTAAACTATATAAAAGAAACTGTTGCTGAAGCATGCCTGAAGTTTATCTATGTAACAGAATTGAAGAAGTTAACTCCAGAGATCTAGTATTTATAACATTCTGAAGCAATCTAGAAGCTTCATTCTGTATGCCAATCTCTGGGACTGTTTTGCATGCTCCTTTTTCCTCTTATTTGGCCTTTGAGCCAATGTCTCACCTTA